ACCACTAGTAACAACAAATGTAGTTAGTGCTGCACTCCAATTAATAATAAACATAACAAAAATACAGAGTAATGCACCCAAAAGGGAAACCCATTTGTTATAGTAACTAAATGCTGGTCTCCAGCCGGACGCTCTGGCTAATGAAGCATCAAAACATGAATAATTCACAAGTGCATAGGTCATCAAAAAAAAATTTGATATAATAGGAGCGATCACATTTAATTCACCTTGAAAAAGATTAATTTGTTTATAAACGTAAATAGTTGATAAATTTTCTTACCTATGGCAGTAAAGGAAACAGCAATAAAATAAGTGAGAAAATATGCTCGATGTGGTTCGTCCGTACGTTCACTTCCCACTGCAAAAAATTTTAAACGGGGAAATATCATATCTCGACTAACAGCTTGAAATACTTTTGGAGCGCCCTAGAAGAAATTAAATAAAAATTCGAATCATATAAGCATGAAGATAATAGATACTAACTTACCACTAGACTAGCTAAAGAAAATAAAAACGACAACAAAAATTACTATGGTATAAGAAGTAGAAGAACAATCTTTGTTCTATACTAAACTATTTCTCACCTAATGCACTGGATAAAGTAGCAGCAAAAATTCCGGCAGTAATAATGGGACCAAATGCCGATATTGTACGCATAGTCTGAAATAAAAGCAACTTCCACTTTATAGACTACGATAAGACGCATGATTTACCTGATAATTGTAAGTTAGACCTGATTTACAACTGATATTATTTTGATGTAATGTACAATTAATTCTTTCATTTAGAATAAAAACTGAATCAACTAAAATTGAAAAGATTCTTAATTATTTTTGATAATAAATATCTTAAAGAATTTTGAATAACGTACGTAAAACTTCACGTTTTGTTGTTATACCACAAATAATACAAAAGATTAAATAAACAGAACTGGTTATAATAATGGCTAATATTGTTCCTAATGGAATTGCTCTCGATGGATTCTACATTAAAATAAATAAAATTATATTTTTATATGTATATTATCGCATCACCATACTTTTAAATTTCCACTTATATTTGCACCCGCTAAAATTCCAGTGACACTTGGAAAAAAGACACCAAAAACATGTTGAAAATTTACACCATCTTTAAATTTTGGTCCCAAATTTTCTTTTGTCACTTGCCAACTGTATCCTACGAATCCCTGTTGTCGTTTTGTTTGTGAAATTGGCATACACGTTCCAATTAGAAAACTTAGTAATGATGCTGTCAATGTTAGAAGTAAACCAATTTGTACAGTTGTTTCCCATTTAAGACCAATAAGTGCAATAAATAGAATCACCGTCATTGTAATTACCCCTTAAATATACTAGAATTATTTGTGGATATCTTAAAATTAGTTCAAAATTACCGATGATTCTCACATCATTGGTAGGTCCAAGCATTTGTACACCTCGTTCCTTAAATTAGTTTTATCTAATAATGTATAGATGAACAATTGATTAATACCATTTTCATACCGCTAATAGATCACGAACAGTTTCGGAAAATCCTATTGTGTACATGGCTGCAGCAACAGCATTGGCAAATGAGAATACAAGTCCGATAGCACCACCAAATTCTAAAATTAAATTCATGTTATTGTCAACTATTCTATCGATAATAATGTTATGAGACATACCTGGACCGAGACTACGTGAAATTAAATAGTATGTGCCACCTAAAATCAGATTATTAGAGTCAATTATTCTTTAGACACGCCCATAAAGAATTTAAAAATACTTGCCACCCTTGACTTCGCCATTTGTACAGATTGCACTCATTGATAATGCAGTAATTATTGTTACTAATGTGGATATAATGACAATAATTGTGGCTAAAATCAAACCGGCTTGACCCGTAACCCAGGATAAACGCAAAAAGAGCATGACACCAAATATATTTAGAATACATCGAATCAAAACGCCTTTTATCCATCCAAATTTAACAACTTTCGTTTGTTTTGCTGATATTGCAGGCGTTGTTGCCACTTCACAATTTAAATCGAATGTTGATGTTAGTTTTCTATGACTGGCCTAAAATACATAGATATACGTCACTTATAGAAATTCATTTTATTTATCCAAATTAATATTGAAAAACTCTATCATTCCACTAGGAAAATCAGTTTAGATCCGTTTTAAGTTTTGACATTTGTCACTATTAACTCACATCATGTAGTGCTTCTAATGTTGGTCTTGATTTGACATGAACTGATGTTAATGAAAACAAATTTCTATAATGTTCAACATGTGGGAGTGTGTCTAATGTATCAAAAACGTTATAGGTTTCTCGATTTGAATTTAAATCAGATATTTGTTGATTTTCAACGTTCAACGGAGTTCTTGTTATTAATAATGACATATCACTGATTTTTTGTTCATCATTATTAGTGATAATTCCTGGTCGGACGGAAAGTGTATGTGAAAGGTCTTTAAACGAGAGAGAACAGTAAGACATGACATAAATTCGATTTTCCTTCTGTCTCTAATTACCTGTCGGAATGCTCGATGCTGTTCGAATTGGAACTGGTATATAATCCCCTTCTCCAGACACTTTAGCTATCTGAAATCGGGCACTGCTTACTGATCTTGGCAAGCCACCACCCCCAACATTATTTGTCGGTGGCTGAGTTGTGGTGATTTCTTTTTCTTGTGTTGATCGTGGCAATTGAAGCATTATTCTTTAAATTTACTGGTCTACAAATAAATATAAACAGAGTCAGAATGATTATGTCTAAATAAACAAATAGAAAACACAACCGGTTTGGTGTTGTGTATGTAATTAAGCTATTATAAAATGTTCCGATGCATGTGACGTGTAAGTAGAAAAATGAAATTTCACATACGCTTCAAAAAACAAATAGAAATGCAACAGTGATAATTCATAATCATAGGAGTCTATAGTTCTTCACTTCATTTATCGTAGAAAATTCAGTACACCTCAATATCACTATGTGATGTCTCACATCAACATCGATCTTATTCTAGTTTAAGTAAACCTAATAACTCGTGCATACTTATGCTAAATTTTTACCTTTTTTATTTGAAGAAAATAAAATGTAAAATTTCTCTCAACTGTCAAGAAATTATGCGTTTCAGTTCTCTTAATTAGTTTAGAAAAAGATATTTTCTATACTTAGATGAGTTTCATGCAAATATCAAAGCTGACATCAGTCCAGAATCATTGTTCTCGAATCTTTTTAATTCTAAACTCTGATGTCAGTTTTTTTTGGTTGTTGAGCATATCTAGATACTTACGTCTACTTACTTCATACAAGAGAGAAGAAGAAAAGACTACATGACAGATCATAAGAAAATTTTCTCATAAATGATAATTTTTCTCAACCAAACACTTTTTTCACACAGGCAAATTTTAGACTAAATGAGTAGATTGAAAACATTTTTGAGAAAACCTCTAAACTACTATAATGGTGATCCACAAAAATGACGCATGGTTCTAGAATAGTACACAAAAATAATTTGACTTTTCCAATGATAAATGTTGGTGAAGAACAAGAGTTGTAGAGCAAGAGTTGTCAACATTCAAAAGTGAACTGAAAATATTTTTTAAAATACTATATAATAAACTAGAATTAGTTACTTCTACTTGCCTGGAATAGCAGCTTCATCTGCAACCACTTAGGTTGTTTGTCACGAACGCATTTCAAAGGTACCGTAATCGATCAACCCCGACATCGTCTAGTGATGTAATAATCATAAGCAATTTAATTATGTCTTAGTGCTTCAGATTAGCCATTCATTACCATATTCACTAGGCTGTGACGTAGACCGGTTAGTCTTTATGACTTTCCGAAATGAGCTAGTAGATGGTTAGAGAATGTGTATAGAATGTTCAGGTAATTGAATGAGAAGAACTCTAAAGTAGACTAGTCTTCTGACGCGAGCTATAATTGATGACTAGTGCCGATCTGAACGACCATGTTAGACGCTTGTCAATTGTAAGAAAGATATGGCGCTATTAAAACTAACACTTATCAGTACCCTATACCACTAGCAATGGCTACAAGGCATAATAGTAGTCTTCCTTTTTCTAAACACGTTCAAACATAGGAATCTCGCACGTTTTCACTGCATTCATGTTTTAAACCCTTATCTTATTCCTTGCTTTTTCCTAATCAACCGCCAAACATCTAGGCTCTATTATACGCTCCAAAATATTCTTCGTGATACAACTGACGTATTTTTTAAACATACGCTTCTATACTGAGTCCGCTAAAGTTTCATTCTTTTCATGTAGAAAATAGACCGTGTAGAAAAGGAAATAAATGATAAATGACCTAATGTACACAGCTGGCAAATAAAAATAAAACCAAACAAACAGACTGTCTTCAATAAGTCTTAATCAATCGTTATTACAATTGATACTTTCAGATAATATGACAACAATATAATCGTCCCATGGTATATGCACACGATAAAATAACCTAAACTAGTTATTATTAACGTAATACAGTTTTAATGATTCGTCTTGCATATATAGTATTTTTCTATTCTAACCTGTAAAAGTTTTAGGATTATATGGTTATAATGACACAAAAAAAGAGGATATCAAAAAATTGTCTTCTCTTTCCCTTTGAGACTAAAATCTTCGGCATAACTTGTGAATTTTTTGACAAATAATTCATAGAGAAAACTTTTTTGATTCTACTCTAGGATTTTCTGTTCTTGTTCGGGTTGGTATTGCTACTAGAAATTCTATTATCGTTTTCATTCTCACACGAAAGGAAATTTCATTGTTTATATGGTAAACAGGCAAGATTAGACGTTTTAATCAAGTCGGAACATAAAAAGATTTTTAGTAGTAACAGAATAGAAAATAATAGTTTGATTATTTGCATCCAGAATTTTGTAGATAATGAAAAAATTTACAGAAGAAAAAAAAGCAAAAAAAATTTAAGAAAATACGCTAGTTTATGATCGAAAAAAGTTCAAGACAAAGTGATTGACAACAACAAGTAAAGTAGTAAAAAAATGAAAAAAACTTTGAATATAGTTAGATATTCAAATAGTTGAATAAACTTAACAAATTTTATCAATCAGCTATATAATGTCATGCACTGAAATAAAAACTCAATGATATTTTCTATTTCTTAGAATACCTCTAAAGATCCACAACATAATTATGAAGAGAAAAGAAAAGTATATTTTAATATCATACAGAAAATATTGAGATAGTATCCTTATTTTGAATAACTTTATCAGATAAATCAATTTAGATAGATATAAAACTACTATCTTCTTTATAATTTTTTTGTCACTCACTTGATTGCAATTAAGAAAATTTTTTTTCATGCCATTAGAATCTCATTTAAAGTGTTTTTATCTCCATAAATATATATATCTTTTTCCGCACGAGAAAAAAAAAAAAGAACTTAATCCACCTTCTATATATAGAGAATGGGATTAAATTATCTGAATGTTTCCGAATTATTATCATTTATTAAGTTTATTATTATTATTTTATATTATTCTTTATGACAATAATGATAATGATTTAGAGTTTTGTATAAATTGAATACTAATATATTCGACTTTGTTACTATGTACGTCTGTACTATAAACTCACACATAGATATGGCAGATAAACTATTATTCCATAGAAAAAGAAAATTGACAGAGAACAGTGTGTGCGCATAATATTTCTTCTCTTTTCAATATATATATAGACTTGTATATATATATATATATATATATATGTCAGTAGAACTAAGAAAAAGAAAAAGAACAAACTAGGAAAATTTACCGCACGAGTTGTATGTAGCATGTGATTTTATTCTACATTCCTGTAGAGAGAATGCTGCTGAGGGTAGTGGTGATGAATGAATATGGTGTCGAGTACACACAAATAGACACTCCATCACTATATAATGGAACAGTTTTTTTTCTTCCGTTGGCCGGTACACTATAAAATACAGAGACAGAAAAAATATTTATTATCTGTAGATATAGAAAAACTAATCGGTCATTTGTAAGAACAATACAATACATTTTACTTTCTCACTGCTCAATGATTTCTCTGGAAAATCGTAGAATACATAGGACATTTATTAACATAAAATATAGAAAAAAATTTTCTCTTTTCTTTCTTTCTTTCTTTCTATTATAAGGTTAACCGACGGTGTGTTCATTAAAAGTTTCCGATGCATGTCAAATATAAAATATATTCTCAACAAATGAAATAATTTTTGAAAAAATATATAACTGAGTACGTTTTAAACTAGTAAGTTTAAAAATTCTCTCTTATCATGAAAACTTCTTTCGTCTATTCCGACGAAAAGGGAAATAAAATTTGAAGTTTAGTGAACCAGTTTAAGTGTCGCAGTGAAGTCAGTGTTTTTCAACTCCATATTGGTCTCTCCTCTCCGTACTAGGAAATACGATGAAAAATTTTCCATCATAATCGGATATATTTGAATTGTAAAACTAAATGAAGTTGAAAAATGAATTTGGTTTTAAATATTTTCTATACTTTTAGTCTATCTAATTAAACTTAAATTTTAATTATAGTCAAAAGACAATCTTTTAGAAAAGTAACAGATATGCGTTAAATAGAGTAAATGTACTTTTGATCACCAAATATTTTTAGATACAAATGATCACCAAAAAAAAATACTTTTGCTCATCAAATTTTCCAGCATGATCTCACATTTTTATTTCTCAACAAAGTACAACACAAACATATTCATTAAAATATTAACCAAATGAACAAAATTTTCACAATTTTATTTATATCTATTACAAATTTAAAGCTGTGTTAGCTTTTTTGGGATACCCTTTTCTGCTTTTCGTTTGCCTAATGGTTGAATACATTAGAAAATCATTGAATGTATCATTGGCTAAATATTTGTCGTGCTCGTCGATAGCTTATATCGGAGTTGTAACCGAGTCGGCAGAGGTTTGAAAATTTTTAGCATTTTTCTCTTGTTCACTAAAAAAAAATGCGTTTTTCTACCCTCTTGTCCGTCTAGAAAATATTTGAAAACCGGTCGGTTTTCTGCCGTTTTTTAACCAGTCTAAACCAATTTTTGGACCGGCTGGTTTTTTTAGACTAGTTACAACTCTGACTTACATTCAATGATTTTCTGGTGTGGCAATAATCCTGGTGGCTTGTTGTACCATTAGAATCATGTAGCTGTCCGATTGCCATGAAAGTATATTCGTGTAAACATTCTGTTTGATTTAGTAATTTTATTTAACTTGTATCAGTTTAGCGATAAAACACGTATTCAACCATTAGGCAAACGAAAAACAAAAAAGGGCATCCCAAGAAAGCTAACACAGCTTTAAATTTGTAAATAGATATAAATAAAACTGGGAAAATATTGTTCATTTGGTTAATATTTCAATGTATATGTATCATGCTGAAAAATTCGGTGATCAAAAAAATTGATACCCCGTTAAATATAACAAGTCTTCTTGTGTTTTGAATCCTCATACAAGACATTCTCTGCGGACGATAAGATAGAAATGAACACTTTTTTATCGAAGTTTTGTCGAATTTTTTTTATTTTCAATTGTTTAAACTTTTATTCTAAGTTTTAAAATGAGAATTTTTTAAGGTATACGTGTTTTGTGCTTGTAAATAATGAAAAGTAGGGTGGAGAGAGGACGAGAGAGACAGAGAAAAGTTTAAGAATGAATTCATTATTTCATTGCTCTTTCTATTAAACTGTCAAAGTAGTGCTGTTAATATTATAATATAGTCGGTATCCGTATTTACTCTGGCTATGTTGATACCACTCAAAAGCTCTTGTCTGTTTTTACAAAAAGTGCATTTTTTAAAGGACTTCAAGAACACATTGACTATTTCTAATAACTGCATAATTAGACATGACCGCCGACGAGCATGCTTCTCGCTACTGGTGCAATCTTCGTTCGTTTGAAATAACTGAGAACAAGGAAAATTTCCAACTAATCTGGCTCGATGCGACAATCGACGATTCAGAAATTTCATTTCAAACGCAGAAATGCTTACGCGCACTCAATTTCGCTGCTCAGTTCTACACCGATCTTGCACTATGTGTCAATCTAATCAAGTCTATCAAATACAAGTATATTCTGCTGGTCGTCTCTAATGCTCTTGCTTCGAATGTGTTGTCACAAATTCATGACTTCGATTCACTCGTAGCCGTTTACATATTCGACGAAACACATTCGAATGATGATTACCCCTTACCCGACTGCTATGGCAAAATTGTTGGGAAATTCTCGGATCGTAAACACTTGGTAGAATCGATTCGCAACAATCAGTATCGCATTGAAAGACAGACAGTATCATTCAATCTGTTCAATCAGAAAGAAAAATTCTCTCGAGACCTTTCTAAACAAGCCGCCGCCTTCCTTTGGCATCAGCTTCTCATACACGTTTTACGCCAAATGCAGCACGACGATCAGTCAAAGACTGATATGCTCAAAAAGTGTGCCCTATTCTATAGGGATGATGCGACAAAGCTAGCCGAGATAGAACGCTTTCGAGATACATATAAGCAACAAGAAGCCATTACCTGGTACACCAAAGATTCCTTTATCTACAGACTCGTGAATAAGGCACTTCGTACGGAGGATATCGATTTATTGTATTCATTTCGCTTTTTTATAACCGACTTGTGCGCTCAGCTAGAAGAACGTAGTCGCCGACAAAACAAGGAAAATAAGCTCACTCTCTATCGTGGGAGTCGCCTACCCGAAGACATCCTGAAACAGTTACGTCAAAGTATTGGCGGTCTTATCTCGATAAATAGTTTCTTATCGACAACTCGCGCTGAACAGACAGCTCGTGTTTTTGCTGGTCAAGGTGGTCCAAAACCAGCCCGTGAAGAAATTGTACTGTTTAATATTAGTGCTAAGCCATCACTGAGCACAGTAGTATTTGCTGACGTCCAAGAAGACATTGGATGGACAATGGATGACGAACAAGAGGTGCTGTTTAGTCTAAACGCTACATTCAAGATCGAAGAGGTCGTATATGACACCGTTCTTGAACTATGGAAAGTGAAGATGACCGGCACTGACGAGGGATCAGAGCGCGTTCGACAATACCTTCGTTTTCAACAAAAAACAATTCACTATAATAGCCCGATGATCTGTTTTGGCAACTTGATGTTTCGATACATCGGGCAAGTGGATCGTGCTGAAAGATATTTCGACACGCTACTCAAGACATTACCCGAAGATCACCCTGATTTGGCATGCATCTACTGTCAGCTTGGTCAGGTATATGAGGCTAAAGGTGAATTAGACTCTGCCTTAAAAAAGCATATGAAGGCATATGAGATTCGTCAGCGAACACTGCCGCCCGATCATCCTGATATTGCCAGTTCATTGAACGCTCTTGGGCACATGTATAGAACAAAAAATATAGAGCAAGCGCTTGACTTCTACCAGCAATCATTGGCAATTTACAAAAAACGTTCATGTCACCAAAATGAAATGGGTAAGGCTGCAGCGTTGCAAAATCTTGGTAATATTTATTTAGTTAAGCATGAGTTTGATACAGCATTGAGATTTTACAAACGTAGTCGCAGAAAATACTCCCGACTGATGCCACCGAAGCATCCGATCATTGCAACATGTCTACGCAACATCGGACTCGTGCACGAGAGCAAGGGTAAGGTGATGGGCAAGGCCAATCGAGAATTCGACCGGGCACTTAATTACTATTTACGAGCACTTGAAATAGTAGAATACTCTTTGCCTTACGATCATCCGAATGTCATCAAGTATCTCGAATGGATCGTTCGAATCCACAAGAAAAAGGAGCAGAGTGCCGAAGCTTTCTTTGTCTGTGGTCCTAAACTGGAACGGGAGAAGAACGATTTGAGTGAGAAAAGTGGGCGAGTCGCAATGCGATTGATGATAATAGCGAATTTGTTAGAGGAGCATGCTCCCAAGCATTCTATGGAAACATACAATGAAGCATTGACTATGTTCGAACAGCTAACACCTCCAGCGGATTCACGGACGATTGTTCGTTGCCTCGATGCCATGCGAAGGGCGTGCTGGAAACGCCACGAATACGCTGAAGCACTGGTGTATGCTTTGAAAGCGCTCAATCTTCAGCGAAGCACGTTATCACACGATCACACAGATCTTGGCCTGCTGTTACGGAACGTGGGCCATCTTTATAAGAAGATGGGCAAGTTGACTGAAGCTTCGGACTACTTTAACGAGAGTCTACTTATTCTTCAAGCCAACTATGATAACAGTCACCTGTACGTCAAACGAATTCTTGCCGATATTGCTGGCTTGAGCCCTGAAGCGCTGACTCGTGAGAAAGATCGAACTGAAGCCATGCGTAAGAAGAAAGAGGAATACGTAGGCGCATTAATCGCCGAGTTACTTGCTCAACCGTTGACCAACTAGCAGTGCAGAAAAAGACCATGTATCATTCAATAACGAACAGATTATGAACTTTCGTTCGTTTGATCAAAGTTTGTACCCGAAAATCTGAAATAAAATGTATCATAAATTATTCCTATACTTATAAGCCTTCTAACCATGATCAGCTTTCACGTAAAGCTCGCAGGTCTATCGATCATTTAAAATCTTTATATCTCTTTTCTAAACACCAGCCCGTAAAAGAAGCCTTCAACCCTACTTCCCAGACAGACAGAAAAGCAAAAAGAAATCGCGTTTAACAGAGCTGCGTTTCCTGGAAAAAAAAGTCACGTTTTGCAGTAGTGCCTGATATCTTTTGAATTGTTACTAAAATCTCTTGAATTCCGAATATCTAACTTAATATACTAATATCTTGTGTATTCACTAAAACCTCAAGTATTTTACTAATATTTCGTGTATTTCACTAATGTCTCGTGTGTTTCAATAATGTTTCAGGTATTGTCCTGATTTTGCGACTGTTTCGCTAAAATCACGTGTGTTTCACTAGTATCTCATGTATTTTGTTGATATCTACTTTCATGAGATATCATGCATCCCTCACGTGTTGACACCATTTAAATGGCGTTTTCGCACATGTCTCGCCGTTCTATCCCTTCGTTTTTTATTGGTATCGCATCATTTTTTTTGTTGGCTTTAATGACGTTGCATGTAGTGGGTCATATATCTATGATTCGTGTATCAAAACGTTCCTTGCGCCTCCTTTCGGCGACTGCTTGCAGGGATACTTCAGCGAGGTTGCTCACATTTTTGGATTAATTATCTATTATATTTATTAAAACCCCAAACTGTCTCTAGCATCATGGCCAAAAAATCATAGTCATGTATTCCTACCGTACTACAAACAGCGCATGAATAGTTTTTCTATATTGCTGTATCAAATTGAGAAATTTCTGATAGGTTTTTTCTGGAAATATTACTAATGTCATGACGAAGAAATTGGAAAGAAGCGACTCAATGTGATATGGATCAGTTATTAATCGAGCCGATTACGGATCTTATTATGCGAGGAATGGACAAAACATACAAAAAACGAGAGATGAATAACCAAGTTATACCAAACTCCAACTGACGGAAAGAATATTTTAGTCGTCTTCAGCAAATAACGTTTAATGAAGTGACGGAAAAGAGAAAAAAGTACCAGACTCATCCGAAAAACAAAACAATGTTACTAACTCTTCGTGGTCTTTTCCAGTGCTATTTCAATTGAACTCGTCATAATCTAATGTTCACCCAATATTACAGCAAGAAAAGTTTAGCGCCAAGCGTTTACTATTGTATTTCTTCATCTGAGAATGCAATTGTCAGTTTTTAAATGTTAGTGTTTCTTAGTGCAGAATTTCTGTTTCTGTTTCTGTGATTAGAATGTTTTCCTCATAACAACCTCTTTGAAAATTTTCGCTACAGGATGCTAAATCTTAGTAAAAATCCTCTAAAATAATAGTATTTTTATGGGACATGTTTTAACTTGAAAAGATATTATTTGTTCTTAATTCTTTTGTTTTAAGTTTTAATCTAAAGATTAGTTTATTTTGTTAATTATATTTTTAATCGTCTTTTGCAGTTTTTACCATCAAATTTCAGTTTTTTTTCAAAACCAACGTCATATTTCGAATCAGAGTTAAAAACTGCATTTATAATTGTATGAACAAACATCATTCACATTTTTGCTCTTTCTGATTATATTAATTCACAAAACGTGAGTTGAAGCTGAAAATTGATCTAACTATTATGAAAAAATATAATGTATCAGAACTATTGTATGTCTTTTCCACCAATATTATGTATAATCGATATGTAGTTTTCCTTACATGTTCTAGATATTCTGTTAGTTATCTGTTCGTCACCACACACCAGGCATGGGCGAGTTCGGAAGGGTACCGAGTCCGAGCCGAGTTCGAGTCCTTGCAAGCTCAAACCGAGTCCGAGTTATTAAAAGTTTAAGCCGAGTCCATTTCTAGTCCGGTAATCTTTTAGATTCTTTTTTGATGTGGGTGGTTTATATTTTAATTTGCTGAGCCGTGGATACATATTTGATTTTTCGAAAATAAGGTTACGTTTCATGTTCGTCTCCCGAACAAAATTTTCAATTTCATGTGAAACAGTAGGTGCTGTTATTTCGCTTTTCATTTTTCTCTGCTCATTTGTGTTAAAAGTTGAATAGATCGGATTCGAAATACAAAAACTCAAGTCCGAATCCTTAAAAAAAATCTCCAGTCCGAGTCCGAGTCCGCCAAAAAATCGTCCAGTCCGGACTCGAACTCGCCCATGCCTGCCATACACTTGTAAGAAGATTACTCCCAAATAGTATTTCTGAACGTTGATGTTGAGGCCTAGAAAGTTCTGTTGCGGGAAAAAATTATTAATAATTAATGGTCGGCAAACTAAACCGTTCTTATTGATTTTCCAAAATGTACATTTATATTTACGAGCGATAAGGTTTTTTTTACCACTATTATAATGTTATCTCCAGAAGTGCATGATTCGATGAATTTTAGAACCCTGCTACCGTCTATTATTTTTCCTTTAAATTATTTCGTAATGAGCTTGTAATTTACGCTAATCTATCTATGTTTCATGTAAAAATTCTAACATAAAATGAGTTCTTATATACTCCAATAGCTATGCATTTTATGTTGTGTTTATCATTAAACACAGACATCTTATTGAAAAGATGGTCATTGATCTATTCAATTGTTTCAGCTTTTGTTGATAACTCTATTTAAATCGGTTCTTTTATAGTTTGGCATCGAAATGAACTTTGATTAATTACTTTGGGTACGTTCAACCTTGTAAGAACATGGATACGTACAAGTATAAAAGTAAAAGTAGAAATACTTGTACTCGAAAAATATTACTCGTACTTTTACATCGTACTTTCACAAAAATACTTGTAATTATACTTTGAGCACATTTAAAGTACTTCAGGTACTTTTCTGCCTTTTTCATTCATTATTTTTTATCTTTTTTCTACTGAAATGTAATTGAGTCAGTAGTAAAAAAATTCTACAAGACTATTTGAATTATTTCCTAATTTTCTTACGATTTCTAACTGTAGATAGAAAACTTCTGTTCACGCTTAGTCTTCGCTCACAACTGTTGAGTTTTTTTAATAAGTAGAATTGTATATCTTTTATTAAACTCCAAACTTCATACATATGGGATGAGTGATAAAAAAACTACACGATGTACATATACAATAAACAGTAAAAAAACACATGTAATAATGATACAATATGCTGAACACATACCAGAGCCAGGTATAATAAATACGTGCTGTATAAGATATGCTGATTTGCTCGTTAAAAAACTAAACTTCTGAACAAATACTTCCTTCTTTAACAACATGTAGTAACAAATCGCAGCAAGACCGTCAGAAGTACATAGTCCATTGATGCATCATCGTTGAACTACATATAGAAATTATAAAACTAGTTGTGAAAGGAAATAAAAGTATCTGGAGTACTTCAAATGTTAAAGTACAGGTACATAGTATTCTTTGAAAGTACAAGTACTGATTTCAAGTATACATATTACTACTTTTTACTTGGAAAGTACGAGTATTCATTCTCTGATCCAAGTACTATGAAAGAATTGCAAGCGTAACCATTTCTCATTTGCTCTGGCGATATGTTCTTCGTCTAATAGAAAGAATATGTGTTACAATGAAGTAAAAAGAGGTGAAACGACTATTGTATATTTTTGTGCAAAATTTTTATTTTCATTTAAAACTAACGAATGATTAATTGCTTATTTGTCAGATAAATAAACGAACAAACAATAGTTGCAGAACTTCTTCTCATTTTCTAACCACTCAAAATTTTAACATATATAAGACTAATGTTTAGATAAGAAACAGATTTTTTGCGTATGAAGGAATGTTCATTTTGAGAAAACGGAAACACCTTATGCTCAATTAAAAAGCAATTGAAAGTTAATTTCTTATTTACGAGTTACAATGTATGATAAGGAAGAAAATATATACGATATTGGATATTACCAAAGCAAAGGCAGTTTTTTATATTAAAGAAAGTCGTCAGAAAAAGGTACGAACAACTGAATTTTTTTTCCAAGAAAATGATTTCGAGAACAGAAGCAGAATACATACACGAGTCACACGACAGATTATGATGAAAAACTGAATACGTCAAAACTCATTTTTTCTATGAATGCTATAGCAAACGGACTAATTTTATTTTAGAAGTCATTTTCTTTTACTTGAATTCCACCGTTGCTAGTTTTTTTAAACGACCTCGGAAGTAGCAAATACTCCAAATTCAATATTTAATCATTCACTTTTTTTTATCATTTGTCTATCGCATGTTGTTAACAGCAATAAATTACGTTTTTTGCTCAAGTTTCAAAGAGAAAAAGCTGAACCACTGTTGATTTATGTTGACTGCAGGATCAAACTCAAAAGTTCACAAAAACGGTGACAACAGAAAATTTTAAATTTTACCGTATTAGCCATTTGACTTTTATCCAGCACAGGACTTGAATACACGCAGCACATTTTTTCATACCAATCAGCGCTGTCTTCCTCCTGTATTTGAATTTGATACAGTTTTCTATGATAAAATCATTGAGATCAAGATCGTATATTTTACATTTAAAAACAGTACCACATTTTTGAGATGACAGTTCAAGAAAAAATATTCTCTCTAATAGATCAAAATCGAAAAGAGTGTGTAAAATTAAACATGTCTACACCATATCGTCCAAATCGAGAAGAACTGACTGATTAAGCGGAATTAATCAGCCGATTTGTGCGTTTAATTGCAATTTTTAAGAAGAACTTTTGGCTCGTAGACAATCGTCGAGTTTTCTACAAAATGCACGATTTCAGCAAAAACACAACATGCTTAATGGAAATTTATCGACTATTTTTCTCAACAATTGCGACGAATCAGCAAAAAATCTCGATTAAGTGCACAAAATCGGCTGACTAATTGTGCTTAATCAACCAG